CAGTTTGTCACAGCCCCTCGTTTGTTGTCCTCTTCTCTCTCTCTGCCTACGGTTTACCGGGCAGTTCTATTTGTGACGATATATATATATATACTTGCTTGCAAGCAGACGGAGTGTCCGGTCCGGTCCGTTTTGCCGCGTGCGGCACCCTCCCCCCGGACCGGACGGACCCGGACCGGACCGGACCGGACGGGGCCGTTCTTTTTTTTTTGGGGGGGGGGGGGGGCGTAACTGGTCGTCAGGCGCACATTCGTGCGCCGCGCGGGTCCGGTCCGGCGGTCTGCCGCACGTGAGGAACCGCCCGGACGGCTTCGCTTGCAAGTATGATATATATATATATTGTGACGATATATTGTGACGATATATTGTGACGATATATATATATATATATAAAATAAAGTAGGCAATGTGGTAAAAAAGAAGAAACTAGTTTTTCGAGAGTCTGTAGATCTCAATCCAAGAGTCAAACAAGAATGAATACCACATATAAGAGTAAAACACAAAGGGTCCAATGGACAAAATTGTTCTATTTGAGTGTAATTTCTTTCTTGTTGTTTTTTTTTCTTATTTATTATTGGGTAGTTCCCATTATTTGTTGTCACAGCCCCTCGTTTGTTGTCCTCTTCTCCCTCTTGCCTACGTTTTACCGGGCAGCTCTGTTCGACTCTCTCTCTATATATATCGTGTTAGCTCTCTCTCTCTCTCTCTCTCTCACACACACACACACACACACACACACACACACACACACACACACACACACACACACACACACACACACTTGTGGCCTGACTCGGAGGGCTCTCCAAGCTTTTCCGGACTATGCTGCCTCTGGTCGGTGCTTTCATGCTGGTGGGGCCTACTGCGTTAGGTATGTTGTCTTCTGCCCTTTACCTTTGTTTTTATGGACTGTAAAAACTATATATATATATAGGGTTCAGCCTCCTGATGAGTCAGTGAAACTCCGACGAAACAGTTCGTCACAGCCCCTCGTTTGTTGTCCTCTTCTCTCTCTCTGCCTACGGTTTACCGGGCAGTTCTGTTTGTGACGATATATATAAACAGTTTGTCACAGCCCCTCATTTGTTGTCCTCTTCTCCCTCTCTGCCTACGGTTTACCGGGCAGTTCTATTTGACGATATATATATATCGTCAAATAGAACTGCCCGGTAAACCGTATATATATTTGACGATATATATATATATATATTTGACGATATATATATATATATATATATATATATATATATATATATATATATATATATTTGACGATATATATATACCGGGCAGCTCTGTTTGACTATATATATATACATATATATAAGTGTGCCGCTTCAGTGGCAGACGGGTGTGTGGGCACTCCCCGCTCAACCACACAAACGTGGGGAACCTTGCACCTTCTATTTTATTGCCTATCTATACTTTTTTGTTATGGATGATTTGTGATGGAATGAGGATGGATTGAGAGAGAGAGAGAGAGAGAGAGAGAGAGAAGAGATTGGGGATCTTGACTAACACAAACACACACATGCACACACACCCCGACAGTCACTTACTCAAGGTGAGAGTTTACATAATGACAGCACAACTATCAGAAACTGTGCGATGACCCAGTGGTGATCAGAGCCTGTGTGATACTGTGAGACAGAGCGCCCAGTCATTATCGCTGTGTGTAGACTGACAGTTGCCCCAAATACAGGTACAACCACTATGTTTGGCTGACAAGCATGAGGATGATGGCCGTCTGATGTCATGACAGCATGGTGCAAAATCGAGGATCTGCAAGAGAATGACGATCCATTGTTCAGAATCAGCATGTGAGAATGCCGGCGATCAGAACCTGTGTCACGACGGCAATCCGAATCTCTGTTTCGTCCCCTGAACACTGTGAACAGTGAACACAAGTATGGCGATTTGATTTGTGTGCATGATGGTCGTCTACCCATTGGTAGAGTCCGACGAGGAGGATGAGAAGGCGGCATGTGGCGAAAGTGTGACAATAATGTGATAATAATGTGGCGGCAGGGTGAAGGAGGGAAATGTGTCTCCTAAGAGTGGGATATGGGCATGACCATAGTCTGATAAGACTGCTCATTGCACGACTATTGAAACAGTGACATCAGGACTATTAAGGAATCCTATAAGTCCTGATGGAGTCCTATAAGTCCTGGAAGAGGGATATCAGGCTTGAAGCCTCTATAGGACTCCGTCTAGGAAAAAATGGTCCAGAAAGCCAAGTGGGCCATTCCGAACCTCGAGTGACTACTCCCGCTCCTGATACCCCACCTCTACAACAAAATGGGAGTTTTTTTTTTTTTTTTTTTTTTTTTTTTTTTAGAAAAAAAAAAAAAAAAAATGACATCAGATTCTGTCCATGCCCATGCCAAGAGTCAAATCGAGGATAAGAATGTATTTTTCATCATGATGATGAGCATCAACGGCGCACAGAGTCAGAATGCGTACTGCAATTTCAATATGATGATCCCCGATTGTGGGGCTCACAGTCCACTCCTTCAGCAATTTGCTGCCTAACACCCATGATGATAGTAATGCGAAGCATGGACCGTGGCAATGGTGAAGTCTAAAAATAACAGGTGACTTTGAAAAAGGTGTGTCTCAACGACCTGCGATGATGTAAAGACAACAGGTGAGTGTGGTTAATGAGCACGTGGCTTGGAAAAAAGGGCTGGCCAAGAAGCTCATAAAAATCTTTCTTTGAACGCGAAAAGAATGTACACGGCGAAATCCCTTTCTTTGAAGGCGAAAAGAATGTACACGACGAAATCCCCCCTTCCCTGCATCTGTTCACCTTTGTCCTCTCCTTTCCTCCCTTCCTTCCTCCCTCCCTCCYCCCTCCTCCCCCCYCCCTCCYCCCTTCCTTCCYCCCTCCCYCCYCCCYCCCTCCCTTCTGTGCATCTGTTCCCCTTTGCCCTCTCCCTTCCTCCCTTCCTTCCTCCCTCTCCTCCCTCCCTGCCTCCCTGCCTCCCTCCCTCCCYCCCYCCCYCCYCCCYCCTCCCYCCTCCCCCTTACCTCTTCCCTCCTCCCTCCCCCTCTTCTGTGCGTCTGTTCACCTTTGTCCTCTCCCTTCCTCCTTTCCTTCCTCCCTCCTTTCCTCCCTCCTCCCTCCTCCCTCCTTCCCTCCCTCCCTCCCTCCTTCGCCCCTCCCTCTTCCGTTCTTCCTGTTTCTTTGTTTTGAGCCTGATAGGAATTTTCACAAACCCTCCTTTAAGCCCTACCATTCTCCTGCATATGCTACTCAGTGTACTCACCCCCCCCCCCAAACTTAGGCAATCATTGCAGAGCGTGATGATTATCTGTTCTCACCTGCATAGCATTGCATGCACATAGACCTCTCCTGGTCGAAGCACGGATGATGGGAAATTGGGTTGATTGATCTGTGCAAGCAACAGGAATTCAAATTTAATCAAGCGGCAATTGCAGATATCATTCTTTGTTTTTTTCCCCCCTCTCTTTCTGCAGGAAAAAAATGCATTTCAAAGATAGATCGAGGCCGCGGACCTCACAATTCAACCCGGGGTTATCCTGGGAGCCTTACCCAGTTTCGCTTACGATATAACTTTCAAGTTTTAACTTTTAACTGAAAACAGTGAAAAGTTAAAACATTCTGCATTACGCATGAATGGACATTGGACAGGCATCTAAATAATCTTATTTATTCTCGACGAAAAGAATGGCAGTACTTACATAAACACACATACATGTTCACGAACAAAAGCATGGCAGTACTTACTTCAAAAAGGGAGAGAAAAATGAACATGAACCTTCTGAGGGCATACTCACACTAGCACGTACAATCACCAATTATATGTGATAATGTGAGCCAATTTGCGATTATGGGCCACCTCCCAGTCACACAGCACACCCATATACTTCACAAAATAGAAAGGACACAGTCTTGACCTGCTCCAGGAATGCGATTATACGGGCCGAGGGCTCACACAGCATGATGCATAAAAAAATAAAATCCATCCCTTTTTCCTGTTTTTTTTTTCTCTCTCTTACGAGAGCTGCCCACCAAACTTCAAATTCTTTTTTTTTTTGCTTCCCGTAAGAAACAGGTCTAAAAGAAATACGCAATTGTGGGGACCTCCCGAGGTTCCCGCAAAGTACGTAACCCCGCGGCTGTCCAAGCCGCTGACATTTACGTGCCCATTTGCGTGAAAACGCACAATACGTAGCCCTTGTGAGCCAAAAAATAAACATACAATTTACGATTTTAATCATTTTATGAAAGACACAGATGAAATTTTCAAATTCCCTGGTCAAGCTGGGAAAACTGTGAAGTTGCAAGTCACAAAGTCTGAGTCCGGTGCAGAAATAAAGCAAAAAAAAAAAAAAAAAAAAAAAAAAAAAAAAAAAAAAAAAAAAAAAAAAA